ATCAAGGAGGGGGGAAGAGAAGGAAGAAGGGGGGAGGAGAGGGGAAGAAGAAGAAAAAGAAAGGAGTAGGGGGGAAAAGAAGGAAGAAGGTTGAAAATCTATATGATCTCTTCTATATATCCTTCTAATTTGTTTTCCCCTTGTACTTTCGTTGCTTAAATTGTGAATGACCAAGCAGCAACCTAGCAAAAGAGAGAAATTAGAGGGGAAAATGTCTAGATCTAGTGTTGGAGGGATACAGAGAGAAAGAAAATGAGAGGATGAAATTGCAAGTTTCATTACGGGTTTTGGGGCTGGATTGGGTGCCATTTGGGAGTTAAGGAAATATAATGAAGACTCACGGAAAAAGTGACAAAAAAGTGAGTGTGTGTAATGGGAGGTGTAAGGATGAGTGTATACGTAGCATTTTCCAAATATAAATATAAATATAAATATATATATATTTAGCGTGTTAAGAAATATAATTAAGAAAAAAAGAGAGAAATTAGGGCATAAATTCTATTTGCCATTCAGATGATACATTTGATAGCGTGGCCAACCACTTTGGAGCCCGCAGGAATGATGGCCCTTGTTTATTTACTTGCCCACGGAAGCCGAAAAATTAGGGTTGAATATTTTTGGGTATAGATCACGTATGAGTAAAACTTAATACTTTCAAAATTTTTAGGTATGATTTTTTAAATTTGGTATTTATTCAAATATTTGAAAATTTATATTTGGTATTTAATTCAATAGGTATTAAGTAACTTGCAGATATATATTTCTGCACTTATTAAATAATATTTTACTTTAAATTTTTTCCAAATTAAAATTTAATAAATTGTTATTTGTTTTCAATTTAAACTTAAATAAAATTAATAAAAATTTAATAAAATATTATTTATTACAATATAAAATTAAATATAATCTAAAATGACAATAAAGAACTTTAATTTGATTTCGTGTTCAGAACTCAAATCTATGTACAATTATAAAACGAAACTCAGTTAAATAATTAATAATAAAGAATGAAAAATATATTCCCAAAAAATAAAGAATGAAAATAAATTAAATAACAAGATGAAAGTCCTTCAAGAATGATATCCAAGTTTTTATGTTTATAGTCCCTCTAATCCTCTATTTAGATTTTTGGACTTATAATCCCTCAAATCCTCTATTTTGATTTGATATAAAAAGATAGTGACTGATGATATTATATCTATTTTAACATCATAATGTTATCCTTTTAACTTATTATTCTTATCATATTATGTTGAAGTTTCAAGTTTAAAAAATCATTTATAAAATAAATAAAGATTATAATTTTGAAAATCACTAATAGAAAAATAAAAAGAAAATTAAAAAGAATTAAGCTTTAAAGTTGCATGTACTCACTATTGCCTAAGAGTACACAAAAGGAAAAAAATTATTGGCTGTGTGGGCAATATATGTTTGCTTTAGGGTTTGTTGTTTACAAACTGCATGTGTGATTTCTTTTATTTTTATTTTTACATTTTATTATTTTTATTTTTAAAAATTATTGTTATTATAAAGATATTAAGCATAAAAAGTATATATAAAATTTTAATTATACAAGTAAAGGTAAAAGGTCAGTTAAATAAAATGTTTAAACATATTAGATAAACAATTCTAAATCCTTATACTTATTATTTAACTTCATACTTACGGATATATTATTTTCATATCCATTATCTACCTAATTTTTTTATAGTTTAGATAAATATTTTCTTAAATAAATAAAATACTTATAAATAGCAAGTATATCTGTACCCAATCCCCACCCCTACGGAAAAAAACAAAGAA